TGGCCACCTGGCTTCCTGAATGGGACTTCCGGTAATTGGTATCTTCGAGTACCAGAAAAAAAAATATCGGTACCAAAATACCGGTATCAGTGCATCCCTAGTCTGTATAGTTTTGGAAAAACTGTCACATGACACTAAACAAAAATGTATCAGTACTTGTATCTATGAGTACACGGACAAGTACTGGAACCTGGAAAAAATGGTATTGATGCATTTATATACACTCTGAATCATGTACATAATGTATCAAATCATCAATTAAAACAGGGATGCAGAAATCCCAGGAGCTCCATAACCAGTGCTCCTTGAGGGCCCTGTCACACCATATCCAGTGCGTTTTGGCACTGGATTGCATACATCAAGCCGGGCCACGTTCTGGAGTATGTCAATGGCACCGCAGATATGCCACCTGCCCACAGTGCGATTGCCCACACTGGAACGCGTGGTACATGAATGCCCTCCATTCCGTTGCAGTGCGATTGGAAAAAATAGTGTATGCAGTATTTTTTTAGATCGCACTCCACTAGAACGGAAGGCATTCCTGTACCTCGCATTCCGCTGCGGGCGATTGCACTGCGGGCAGGGGGCATGTCTGCGGTGCCATTGAGATGATGGCATGGCCACGCCCCCTCCCCAGAATGCAGCCCCGGCTTGGTGTATGTGAACCAGTGCGTTACGGGCTCGAACCACGCCAGAACGCAGTGGATATGGTGTGATAGGGCCCTAAAAATGACAGCTGCCTCCCAACTTTTGAGTTTTTCTCTATTCTAGTCTTGGAGCTGAAAAAGTATCTGTACTTGTACTGAGTACGGTACTTGGTATCTGAACATCCCTAGGTAGTTGACACTGTGTATGTCAATTGGAGTGCCATTCACAAACACAATGTCTGCACATATACTGAATGTTGTGGTGCGCTGCAGCAAAATGTGTAAAACCGCAGGTTTTAACACATTACCACCCAAGGAAGCGTTAATCCAGTTTTATAAATGTGACCAAATTCTGGTCGTCGCCACACAAACCCTGGGGATTATTTGCTACATTTATAAGTCAAAAATAGCCCCACAGAATATTACTTATGGCTGTGTATATCACACTAGTCATACCAAAAATACAGGCAACCATTCTAAAAAGGGTGAACTTGCACAGGAATGATCTTTAAAAGGAGAACTATGGGGTTAAGGCTTTTCACCCATAGTTCTCCTTAGGGTAACCGGAGGACACAAACTAGCGTTCTCCCGTCACCCTAAGGTCAGTATACCGTGAGCTACTGCTCGCGGTATACTGAGACGCTGAAGTGGATCCCGGCAATTATGTCTGGATCTGCCCAGCTGCGTGAGTGACAGCTGGCTCTGCCTATCTAGAGGCAGAGCCAGCTATACACGCCCCCTCCCCCGTCCGATCCGCCAATCAGCGCTGGTGGATCGGAGCGGGGAGGGGGGAATCCAGCCCCTCACCGGTCACGGCAGAGAGCTGCGACAGGATCGAGAGGGGAGCGAATGGCGGTATGTGTTCGCTCACCTCCCAATCTACTGAGCAGACCTGCGACAGTCTCATTGTCACAGGTCGGCTAGAACTATGAGGTGAGCGAAAAGCACTCACCTCATAGTTCTCCTTCTCCTAAACACCAGGAGGACACCAGTTTATTCACTAAGCTGACAAAAAAAATTATTAACACCGTGGCGTCCCCTTTCCTTATCATACCAGACCCTTTAGGTCGGCTAGGAATGTTAGGGGGGACCTCCAATGTCAAAAAGAAAAAAAAAGTGGGGTTCCCCTACAAAGTCTTAGCAGACTCTTTAGTTCCGGTAAGAATTTAAAGGGGGACCCCAATGCCAAAAAAAAAGTGGGGGACCCCTCTACAATTCCATACCAGACAGTGGTCTAGCAGAGTAGGAAAGAGGGGGGATGGGGGGGGGGGGGGGGGGGGGTAGACAGAAATTAGCGCACAGGCTCCCCCCTACTGCACCACACCAGACCACATGCCCCCAAAATGGGGAGGGTTCTTTTCCAGGGGGAGACCCCCTGGAAAAGCCCCTTGTCCCCATGTTGATGAGGACAAGGACTCTTCTTCACAACCGTGGCCTAGGAACTGGCCAGAGCAAGTCACTGATCACGGGACTCGCTACGTCCATTTGTTTACATGCCATTTGAGCACAGAGAGCTGTCATGGAATGCAAACAAAAGGGTAGCGCGAGTAGTGACGTCACAACTCGGCCCATTGGTTTACTTTTTTTTTTGCATATCCGGGATCCCCCCTAACATTCCTACCAGACCTTATATTGCCTATGGCTCTAGCTGGCCTTTTACTAATACAGATTAAGGCCACCGTGTTAGCCTTCAGCTGCCTTCCTCTCCAAGTTTTCATTTGTGAGGCCCACTTTGACTTCAGGGAAGGCTGAAAGTACAGGACAAATCCACTGGATCCTTAACCACCAGCAAAGTATCAGCTGTACATGCGATGGCCAACATGAGGCAGGGCATGACACTGCCTAGTACAAAAGAAGTAAAAAATGCTACTGGCCGGTTTACGCCTTTCACTCTCAATTAACTCTGAGACCCCAGCTCTGGAGCTATTGAAATGCTAATTAAATTACATCCCAGTCCCAAACACAGAAGCTGCTGGTGTCCTCAGTAAACAGATGGCTGGGTCAGTGCAGTGCCCCAGGGCCACCCTCAGCATCAATCAGACCTTCACATAGAAGCAGCAGAGTCCAGACTGTGCCCTTTGTGTATATAACATCTAGACAACAGTGTAGTGACTCAAACTAGAGAGTTCCCTCTGCAGCAAAACGCATAGGCATCATAAGTACTTTCTCTGTCCAGAGAATTACCAGCAGGAAATGACAACAAAGTCATCACCCTACACCCATCACCCTAAAAATGAAATGGTCAGCATACCAAACATCCAGATCATCATTCATACTCCCATTTTACCAGGAAAAATTTATTTTTCGCTCCTTAAAAATTACAGCAGGCATCTAACTTTTAAGGTTTTCTATAGTTGCTGTCAATGGAGCTGGATCCTAAAAAAAAAAAAAAATCCTCCTGGCTTGCTTCAGAGAGATTGGCTTTTAGGTTCTATATTAATGTATCCGCCGCTAGTCTAGGGGGACTAACGTTGAAATAGAAGGATCTAACCCTTGTCTTAATTGTGGTAATGACCATTATGGCAATCTTGGTCAGTGGTATAACGATCATTTAGAATTGACATATGAATGTCTTTTGTGAAACTGATGTCATTGACACTCCCCAGAGCGTCAATAACTCACCTAATCAGAGCTATAAACAGAATCTAAAGTTATTGCCAACGCCAAGCCGGCAGGTCAGAGAAAGGGGGAGGGGCCAAAAATTATCACTGAATTCCAAGGTTCATGTAAGTGACGTATTCATATGTATTACTGCTATAAATATATATATATTGCATTTTACATTTTGGAGGTTGCACATTAAGCAAAAAACAAAAGCTGACATTTAATGCTTTTCTGATCTCATGAGGAAGGTCATTTGTTTATGTCTAAATAAAGAAAACCCTTGAAACATACCTTCGCAGAAATGAAGAAGGGCAACAGGTTTAACCTGTCAGAGGTATTACATGACACACCTTACAGGTATCTAAGCTCAGAGATTTATTTGCATAATTTAACCTGGACAAGTATCTGTGTCTTGTCTTTGTACAGAGGTCACTTTTCTATGCCAACTTTTAGTTCTAGATTCCAGTACCCCCAATAATAAGCCCTGATGCACTTTTGTTACCAGTCACCTACCAATTCACACCACCCCATAGTTTCCCCAAGATTTTTAACCACTTCAAGACCAGGTGTTTAGACCCCCTTCCTGGCCAGGCCATTTTTCAGTATTCAGCGCTGCAGTACTTTGACTGACGTTTATTCCGTCATGCAGCGCTGTACTGAAAATCGCTGCAGAGTGGTAAAAGGTCAAGAAATATCATCAGCTGACAGCAGTAAGACCAAGCACTGGATGACAGAAAAATACCTCCACTTAAACTGTCAGTGTTACAAGCACTTTGGAAAATATATATTTTTAGAAGTTATGGAGATATTTTAGGGCTGCAAATGGGAGTTGATTACCTCCAATTGACGTGTGTTTGAATGAACATGTCAGTATTGTGCCATTTACCACAATGGTGCAGTGTGGATGACAATTTTAAAGGGTAAGTCCACTTTCCCAGGTGAATTTGGCAAAATGGAATTACCCCCTTCCCAACCCTCCCACCATACTTGCCTTCCCCTCTGCCGCTACCGGTGTACTGCCATGTAGTGCAGCCCTGCACTCTGGATTTTTTTTAATTTCATTCGCAAAGGATGAGCACTCATTGGTCAGTGCTGACCAATGAGGAGCGCTACTCATTAGTCATGCTGACCAATCAGTGATTACCATTTGGGAGCAAAATTTAAAATCCAGGAGGGCAGGGCTGCGCTACAGGGCCGTACAGGCTAGAGATAGTACAACCGTACAGGTAGAGGGGAAGGAGCGCTCACCGAAAGGTAAGTACGGGGGGGGCTAGATCGGAGGGGGTAATGCAGTTTTCCCAAATTCACCTGGAAAAGTGGACCTAACCTTTATGGCCATGTATGATCTGCTTTGCATTGGGTTACTCTAAATAAATGCATTTCCTATTGGAGATGTGCTTTTATTGCCGGCAAAGAAGATCAAATGCAGACTTTTGCTTCCAAAAGCAGGTAAAAGCTTGTGCTTGACAGCAACACCCATGTACACATGCCCTAAAATGTGACACTCCTGTGCAAACATCATCATCACATTTGATAAACGGGCACTATCTGGTCATTTTAGGTCATATGACAGACCATTGCATCTTTCAAGAACACAGAACATATACAAAAAGACAACCTCAGTTTTATGCTAAAGCTTTAATTGCACCAATACATTGATAATGGCAAAGTGTTTCTAACTCTATGATGCTGGATTATCCTGTGCAGATGCAGGTAATATTAGCATGCCAAGTACTTGAATTCACTTACCTGAGCTGAAAGTGTAAGGTAGATAGGAAAGTAGCAACACTAATACTCCACTCCTTCCTGAGGACCAGACTTTATACCACTGGCTTTTCCCTGCTGATACTTGCTGGCACATCTTCTTAGAATAAGGTAAGCCAAGGGGCAGATATGACAACCAGCACCTAGTCATGAGAAAATAATCCACAGATCAGGATACCGGAAAGAAAGAGAGATTCATTACATGAAAATTTGATTCTGTGATACTGAGGTTGTTATAGTCGAACACCAAAAAATTAACAAGGACACAGATTAGTAAAGTTTGCTATGAACTGTAGACCAACAGCTGTATTGGAACACATTTCATTGCCAGTTTGTTCTATTATTGTGCTGCACACCGTAACATTGTAACAAACACCTCCCACCCTATAAGTAGCAAGTGCCACCACATGGAAAACAGAGCATTACCCTCTTGCTGGCCGATCCTGATAATTAAGATACTCAAGCAACACTACCGGTTCCACACGTTGTGCTATTGTTCACCATCAACCTGTATTATTAGAAAAGGCCACCGCAGCATTCCACAAAAGATAAATAACAGAGGACCTGTTCACACCTATGTGTATAAAATAATGTGCTTTAATTATACTTGCAACTCATGATTCGAGGAGAAGTTTTAGCATGGGTTCGTGCACATTCAAAAATATGTGCTTTTTGCGTTATTGTTATTGAGGGACAGTGATTATCCATAGTGCAGATGGACTGAAAAGGCAATATACATGTGTAAACCATTCATTTCAGTGTGCTTAAAGCCCAATTAACGATGACCTATAATGACCTATATACAGTATTCTGCCATTGGTAAAACACTAGATTGGAGGATTATTATAACCATTTAAAATGTATTAATGATCCACCGAGTTAGAATTTAAGTATATATTACCTTGCAATGCACTCTATCATAGGTGACATTAGATGCCACATATGCACCAGTGGACATGGAGTCTATTTGCATGCATTAGTCTTCCTTTTTTTAAACTTATAAAATAGTGTTACTTTTGTTTCTATATAATCATTATGACTATATATATATA